ATAATCAAAGTGTTCATATTTTAGTGTATTTTGAAATGAATATATTACGTCAATTTTGTTTTATAAAAATGAAGTATCAAATCATCTTGGATTAATATAAAATTTTGTATATATGATCTAAGAGATATGAACTTTGAATCTAACAGTTGGATTTATAAAATTCACATTTAATATAAAGTTATTAAGCAGTGTAATACTTAGTAAAAGTTACATCAGTGTTATTATAACCCCCTTATATATATATAATGAACGCATTGGAGCTAGCTAGACATATATCATTTGGCTAATGATATATGTACCTCCTTTTTTTATAAGTACACCTCCTTTATTTTATTTTTTTTAAATCCTAAAATATTCATAATTTTTTTTTGTTTTTTTAAATTTTTAATTTTACATCTGTAACTTTCAATTTACTATTTTTTCTTTTCACACACCTCCTTTCTTCTCTTTTCCAGTTTTCACATGCATCATCTTATCTTCCTCTAATTCATCACCTATTTCGGTCGGTAGTTTTAGTTCTCTCGTTTTTTATATTATTCTCTTATTTTCTCACCTCTTTCACTTTTTCCTATGCACTTAAATCATATAACTGATAGGCAACAACATTGTAGGTATGTGTAGTTTCCTCAACAGTTTCTATCAAATTAAATACACATTTTTTCTTTCAACACTTTCTTTCCTTTTCCCTCTCCAAAAACCTTAACATTAAGTTTAGTGTCATAAAAAAGACATTTTCACTATTCTAGAGTACTATACAAGTAGTGAAATTAGTGAGAAAACTGAAAGAAGAAGGGAAAAAAATTATGTAAAACTAAAATAATTAAAATTACCTATCAAAATAGGTGGGGGTGAAGAAAAATTAAGCGGGTGTATGTGGAAATAAGAGAAAGAGATATGTAAAAAAAAGTGTTAAATTAAATATTAGGAATGTAAAATTAAAAAATTAAAATAATAAAAATTAAGAACATTTTAAGAATTTATTTTTTTTAAACCAAGAAGGTATACTTATAAAAAAAAAAAAAGAAAAAAAAAAGAGGTGTATATATCATCATCCATAACATTTTGTTCATTTGGGCCATTTCACAGCGTACAATAATAGTATTGGACTTTGTTCAACACATTGCGGGTGTAGTTTGGTCCAATGTTGATCATTGGACTGAATTTATTTCGTTCGGGATTGTTTTATTTGGGCAGAATGGTTTGGTATTTTATACAAACCTCGAGGTTATTTCATTGGACTAGTTTTTTTTTTTTTTCAACTTTTGAGATTTTTTTAATGTTTTTAATTTTAATCATAAAATTATCGCTTTATTTTCAATATGTTTCTTATTTCCGGAGAGCGCATGAATCAATTGGCAAGGAATTGTTCTAATGTAACTATGTTAAATATTTGGAGTTTTTTTTTTCACTCATAGTGGTCCATGGCTCGAACATGCTTTCATTTTATCTATTTCTTATACAAATATTTAATTACAAAAAATAAATAAGTTTTTATATATAAAATATGGATGGTGTAAGAGCGTTTTTAAGAATTTTTTTTTTGACAAAAAAGTTTTTAAGAATTGTTTTAACTTCATATTTAATTCAATTTTTATTTATCATAAATATTTTTTAATTAAATTTTATTTTTAAAATAAATTATTAATAAATAAAAAAAATTTTATACTACAATATAAATTGTTTATCATAAATCTAAAATGCAATTTATATATTTAAAAATATCTTCTTATTTAAATTTTAATTAATTTATATATTATATACATAATTTATTTCAAATTTTAGTTATATATAAATATTTAACCCGTATATTACATATGAAAATATTAGTTAAAAATAATATAATAATTTTATAATTAAAAAGGAAAATAGTAAACATTAGCTAATGGACTTGTACAAGTGGATTTGGTTAATGGTCTATATTTTATTCGAATCAGGTTGTGGACATTAGATAATTTAGAGATTTTCTTTCTTTTAAAAATAAATAATCATTTTGAGTTTCTCATGTTATAACAAAAATAATAACATGTTTAGCAAAATATTTGACCAAACGTAATTTATTTTGTTTACTTGTCATATCATGTTGTTTTTTTACCCTCAGAATAATTTGCATAAGATCCTAAACACTAACATTGTTATAAAACATGCTGTAAAAAGAAGAACCATTATTATCAAATATCAACCCTGAAAAAAATTTATTTTTTTTATAATTGTATTATTTTGTTACCAATTAAAAAATAATAAAAAAACCAAAATCATTACTTTTTTTTCTAGAAAATAATAGAGGGCCTAATCTAATTGTGACAATTATTAATATTGTAGAAATTTCAAAATTAAAATCATATATGCCAAGTTTTTAGTTGATTAATGAGATAACATTCTTCCTTGCCAAAAAAATGAGATAATGTTCTTGAAAATACATTATGACTCACACCTAACTTATATGAATAAATTTTGATTGTCTTTTTTCTCCTATTGTAATTTCACTTTTCATCTATATAGTTTCATTTTGAAATTCTTTGGTCGTTGAGGTTGATGATCATCTTTGTCGTATATATACATCATCATGTATTTAAAAATAAAAATGATAGAATTTTGTTAAGTGTTTTCAACAAATCAGACAAAATTTAGGTTGTTCTACGAAAGTGATTGCCATGTGGGTGGGCTGAAATCTTTTTGGTCTCGAAGTTGTTATTCCCTTCATTTTTTTTATAATTCATTTATCAATATGATTACGTTTTCTTTTTTAACACATATACACATTTTTTTAATTTAACATATATACACATATTTTAGTGTATATTCCCTGATGTGCGTGACGTGTTAATGTTTCATCACTCAACCCCCATTCTCCATGCCTTTTTAATATTTTAACTTTCTTTTTTGGTACATAATATTTTAACTTCTTTTATATACATACAATATTTAACAACCTAATCCTGCATATAAAATTTTCATTATATATATGAGAGAGAATCTTGCTAAGTGGAATACACGTTAGAGCCTTTTTAACTTTAATACTATGTATTGAATGGTATAAAGTTACTTATCAATTTTACAAAGTTATGTCGTATTAAAAAAAAATAGATATCAACCAACACTTTTACTGATACATTTAATGATATTCTTGATTATGTATTTCTCATAATATTTTTTTACTGTAGTAAATAATAATAATGATATTAATTTCTCTTTCAATATAAAAATAGTATTTTACAGAATAATATAACTATATACGCAAGTTTATTGTATGGTATATAATTACTTATTAATTTTGCTAATATATAATATACATAGAGTTATGTTGCATAAATTAATGTTTGATCGGTATAAATTATATTTTATAAATGTAAATTAGCACTACAAGGAAATTATCGTATAATGACACACATCTTATAGTGACACAATAAGTGTCATTAAAAATTACTTTTACCTACATAATAAATATAATATATGTTTGTATATTGTTAAAAAGTGTAGGTATAAACTATAGTAACACACAAAATATGTTGTTAAATCTCATTCAAAATCAACATTAAAATTGTGTGTAGTTATATACCAAATAGATATATACCTACATATAATATACTTAGAGTGACACTTTTTGTATGTCACTATATGTAACATTTATTATAGTGTAGGTATTAGTTGTAATCTTTAATATATTGAGTGGATTATATACATTAAAAAAAAATAAAAATGAGGCTATATGGTGAGAGACTCTAGCGATGAAGGATAGGCTTTGAGGGAATGAGTTTTCTCGAAGGATAAAGGAATAAATGTTAAGGGTAACACATGCTATTAAATTCTGCCAAATTTATCTAATGATATAAACTGATTCATATATAGAAAAAGGAAAACTATGTTTCCCTACCATTTTATCATTGTCGTTGCTTCTCCTAACATTCTCATTTCATTGCCTTTATAAAATTCGTAGGCCTCTAGCTAGCCAATGATGACTACCACATACACAGAAAACTCTAATATTGATCAATAGGTATGGCCACTCATAATAGTGAAGAATCAAAATAAGTATTGACTTTAAATAAAGATTGGCAACCTAAAAGAATCTTAACAAAAGAAAATATATAAAAGTACTATTTTTTAAAATGCAATATTCGATCCATATGTTAGGAATATAATCAAGGGAAAAAAAGCGATTTTTAAATAATATTTAACGAAAATGTACGTGCTAGAATTATCATCATAAGTTAAAATCAAATAAATATATCCATTCTTTTTGCTTTGGCCAGAAGTGAAGAAAAGAAAAATTAGCAATAGAATGGGTAATTAAAGTACATTAGAAATAGAGAAATACAAGCATAGACATGAATCACATGATGCACTAAACAATCTAAACTCATGCATTAGGTTTATTTTATGCAAAAATTTACATCGAATTAATTATATGACTATAATCATGAGATATATCAGGCATAATATTTGAGTGATATATATACTTTTTAATTAAAAAGCGAAATAAATTAGCAGGCTGAAGAGCTGTAACTAAGACAACATAAAACGACGAATGGTTCTGTCGAGGGTTATATATATTATCAAGAAAAACAGTTTGGTATAAAATGATATAAGGTCTTTAATTAAGATAAAGCCAAACTTAAAACTTTAAATATATGTACCGGGAATATTATAACTTATAAATACAAGTTGTGTGCTTTGGTTAGTTAGATGAGGTGTAACCCATAATACAATCAACATAATTGAATACTTAATGCCATAAACTTATCGTTAAAAGTTTATAATAATAATAATAATAATATGAATTATAGTATTTAAAACAAACAGGTGACGACAAATATATTAATGTTGCCACTTCAAAGTTCAAACTTCAACACAAAATCCATGGAACTTTCAAAGAAACAACCATTACAAGAATATTTTAAAAAAAGACTTGCACGTTGTGCCACAGTAATTTTCAGAAAAATACAATAATATAAACGAATTCGGTGCTATAAATAATATACTGCAGTGCCGCATATATTTCAAGGCACACACACACACCTTGGTGCTTCCACCAAACACAGCTCGCAAAGTTAGCTGAAATTTAAAAACATGGCTTCCGCTACCATGGATAATTCCGATCTTGCGTTCTTGGAATCAGTTCAACAATACCTACTTGGACATGATTCCACCGATCTCATCCATGTTTCAAAACCTGAAACCCACGGATTTTCATCCCATGATCCACCTTCAAGCCCTAAGTGTGAAGTTGATTCGGATCGCAATGAAGAAGCTTCGGCTGTGGTGGCGCGTCAGCATCACGCGCCACCAACATGGAAGCATTATAGAGGAGTGAGGCGTAGGCCATGGGGAAAGTTCGCGGCGGAGATTAGGGATTCAAAGAAGAATGGAGCTAGGGTTTGGCTTGGAACTTATGATACCGAAGAAAAAGCGGCTTTGGCATATGACAAAGCTGCTTTCAAAATGCGTGGTCAGAAAGCTAAGCTGAATTTTCCTCATCTCATTGATGCTGAAGATTTTGATACATTGTCAGAATCTGTGAAAGTAACAACTTCGAAGCGAAGTTTGTTAGAAACTTCTTTGCAAACTTCTCCACCGTCATCGCCATCCTCAGATGATAGCTCAGAGTCGCAGTGTACAAAGAGGAGAAAGAGTTTGGTTGATCTATTGAATAAGTTAGCCAAGAATAAAAGCCAAGCCAAGGTGGCATGTTGAAGTGCAGTTAGAGGAATGTGCTATTGATTAATCCTTGAACGAGATTTCAATGCTTGTTTCACTTGTAGTCTAATAATATGTTGTTAATAGAATATAATTTTCCTCACCATTATGCACTTGTCTAGTTTGATGAAATTATTTGCATACCACTTTGCTGAAGTTTAAATTGTGAACAATCTAGATGAGAGAATCCGGAAACAAGAATAAAATTGAGAAAGTGTCCATACATTTTCAACTTTTATATATCTTGTGTTGTTGATCGATTATTAGTTGTCAAATTGTAGGGA